CAAATGGGATTTTTTTAAGGGTATGAATGCTATTAACCTATGGGTTGATGGATTAGCTTCAAATAATGTATTACATCCTTTCCCTCAATTGCATTTTAAGATTTATATTAGATTATATACACAGGGAACATTTTAGTTTATAATTTGCCTCAGTAAGAAATAGACTAAATAGAAGGCTGTGCTTGCTGTGGTGTCCTTCAGCTACCCATGAAAAGTTAATCTGTAAAATTCTCAGAATGGTCATGGAACAAAACTTCAGGATTTTAAGAGCTTGAGAATAAAGGAAAAATTATTTCAGCTGGAAAGCTCTCACTTATATACATTAATTATCTCATGATAGCTTTTGATAAGCAAACATAAAAGCAAGCAGTGTACAGCATGCCAGTGCAAGTTAGAGGAGAGGCAGTGAAAATTTGGCTTATCTTGAAAAAAAGAAGCTGTAGCGTGATTTTGTTTCTTTGATCTGCTGACAGATGCTTCATGAAGATAAGAGCAGGGAGCCACATGTCTTGCTTTAAGGCAGGATTTAGGTAATCTTATCTTCAAAAATCTCTGCATTCCTTTTTCTTCCACATTTCTCTCCTGATATGCCACTAACACAGCACACGTACATTGAGCCTGATTACTCGCCTATCATACTTCTTCCCTTGGACTAGGTAAACCAATCAAACAGCCCTCAGTGTGAGCTTATTTTTTTGGGTGACAAGTCCAAAAATAGGTGTGCCATAAGTGTCCTCCTCAAAGACATCTTCATGTCCTTGTTCCTGTGATGGAATAAATAAGATATTATGAACTTTCTGTTGTTGTGGGTTAACACGCCCAGGCATCTCTGCATCTGGATGGAATTCTTTGAACTCCCACAGTATTGTTAACCTTCCCTTCCTGCAGGATAAAGCCAGACAGTAGTTCAATTTTTTCCCTATCCTCTGTGCAAATCATTTGGGACCCAGCTTCCCAGATCCTTTCTTATTTCTAGTGGTCTGATTTCCTTAGTTTTCAGGCTATTGGAAATTGCTATGACCTAAGTCACCCAGATGCTGAAGTGCTCCCGTTGTCCATGTAGCAGCCAAAGGGATATTCCCACCGAGATGCAGTTTATCTGAGCTTTTTAAAAAGAGGAATTACAGTCAAGTCACATGCCCAGAAGTCAACAATAGTGGCTCACATAAAGTCCAAAATGCTCACAGTCTAGGCTCTTCCCTTGCTATTGACTGCATGAACACCTGGATCAGTGGGTCAGGGACCACACTGCCATTTCAGCCACCTGTCTTACTGAAAGGAATTACTTGGCACTACTAGCTCAGATTCACTTCAGCCAAGGTTTGAAGAGTTGAATTAGATTTTTTTAATATGTCCTAATGCCAAAATGAGACTTCTGACTCTTTTTGGGTTTTGGTGAAATGATATTTTGTCTCTGCCAGAGCACCAGATTTATTTTCTAATCCATTTTAAGACCCTTCTAATATCATAAGAAAGATTATGACCATGGTATCTTCTCTTTAAGGTTGTTCTGCAGATTGGCCTTCACTTTGCTGATTGCTTTGCTGAAGAGAATCAGTGCTAGTTCTCTTTGAGCTATACCTTCACAACTTACTACTCCATTACTCTTTTTATTCTCATCTATTCTTAAAACTTTTCTAACTGTGAAAGTGAGAGATAGGATTCCATGATCTATGTGTGATGAAGGCAAGTCTGCAGACCCTTAGAGTGCAGACCTAGTATAGAACTTTTCTTTTGCATTTAATTGAAGAATAACAATTTAAGAATAACATTTTAAGCCTCCTAGAGCACTGCAGGATTTTTGGACCTAATGCACCCATCATCTTTAAAGAAACCACAAGAACTGATTGAGAAGAAGTGTAAAGTAGCTAGACTTATAAAATAGGCTGTATCGTGCATATTTCCAGTTTCTGCTCCTCAAGATAGTTTCTTAGCTATTAGTTATGTCAGGATAATCAGCACCTCTTGGTGCAGTTAAGGTCCTGACAGTTATTACTTATTTTAAGAGATTACTATATTATTACTCCTCCTTAGAAAATTAAAGCTATCAATCAATAAGTTTATTCTTTACCCCCTTGTAAAATATTATATTAATATAATTTAAAAACCTACCAAGTTTTTTAACAAAGAAGTTAGCACACTAACTTATTTATTTTTTGGTTTGAACAAACTCAGATTATCTGTGTTGGAGCAAGATTGTGAGGTCCATAAACAGGCAGGTCTACCACTGCTGTACAAGGAAATTGGAATAAATATTGAGCAAAGAGTTGTCCTGAAATGAAAAATGCATCATCATCACCAGAAATAATTATAAATTGTTTGGTCAAAACTTTGCAAAACTGCAGGTTTCTTTAAGAGTTAATTTTTCCTCATAAAGGACATAGAGCCAAAAAGGGAATTTGGAATTTACATCAAAAATCCTTTGCATTTCAGGGCTGTTTATACTAGTGGTGGGAAGAAGGGAGGTCACACTCCCAAAATATGAGTTAAACTCATTTCAACACACAAGAATGTTATTCATAGCAGAAAAAAAACAAAAGGGAAAAAAAAGGAACTCTATCTTTTATCCTGTAGATTTTATGGATTGATGAGAATTTCTTTCTCATCATCAAAATTATGAGATTTTTCTCCCTCTGAAATTCCTTTCTCGTATTGTTTTCCTGTTTTCTTTTAGGAGTGCAAAGATCCCTCTCACTGTTAAATCTAAACAAAGGAATCAACTTTAGTATGTAAGACTAAGGACTAAGACATAAGTCTCCTCTTTCACCACTTGGCTTACAATTGGATTTTAATTTCTCCTTTGCAGTTGCCTCATGAGTGTTCCTAATGAACACCACGTTCCACTGATGCAGAAAAAAAGGTAGGAGTGACATCACAAGCTGGCTACAGACACCCTTCTCACTGCCTAAACTATCATAAGGTCAGGATGGATAGGTGCATTCTCAGTTGAAAATTTTCATTTGAGCCTTGTTTGGGAGGTCCCTGTTTGGGTCTTCTGTAAGCAGAGGAAGAACCCATCAATGTACATTCTCTGCCTGCGGATTTAATGAGAAAAATCATTGTGAAGTTCAAACCTACTCTGGCTGGCAGCACACGCTGGGTATGTTTTAGACAAACCTGATGCTCACTTGGCAGGACAAATTTCTGAAGTACAAGAGCCCTGTTATCTCTCCTTGGCACTATGCACAATAGAAGCCTACTTGCTTGACAATAAAACTTTGGCCTTAATATAAAACCCTTTTCATAGTTTATAAGGCTAAGCTTAATTAAAAGGAGAATTGTGTATGTTCTCCTTTCATTTGGTAGTAAACACAGGCTCCTTCACCTCATACAAAGCTAATGGTGGTAAACCAGATACTGCACCACTCTATACAAGAATAGTGTACTGTGGAATATACTGCTAGAAGGAAACAGCATGTCTATTCAGTAAGTCCAATTGTGATTTATGAGAACCTCGCTGGGCAGCTCCTGCAGTGAGCTGGAAGGCAAGAAGTTATCACCAACCTGCTGCAAAGACTGCCTGAATTTTGAGGTAGAGATCTCCAGTTATCACTCCAACCACACAACTCATAGTTGGGTGAAGCTGATCTTCACATTCCCTTTTCAAGCAGCAAGTAACAGGTGTCACCTATGCCAGAAGCATGAAAGGAACTGAGCAAGCCAATGTCAGCATCACCAAAAGTAAACTGAGACAGTTCTTGTCATCTCCAGGGACTCATTCAGGACAATCATCATGCTGTCTTTACAAACTGTTCTCAAAACTGGTAGCCCAAAATGATGACCTGCAAAACAGAACATGTTACAAGAGCTATGGAAACATCAAAATTGCAACCTTGAATATGCCCCAGTCAGTGACCCCCTGTTTTGAACCATGCCTTGGTACAGGAAATCACTATAGCTTTTTGTTTGGATTGGTGTTTACACTGCAAATACCTGCATGGTCAGGCATGGTTTTGTATAGAATGATACATGACAAAGGACTCGTGCAGCCTTGTGGGCTCACATCAGTGTTTTCATAAGGTTCATGTGGAAAATGAGTTTAAGAATAAGATACAGAGCTTTCATCAAGAACTGAGTGTATGAATTCATACAGTATAAGGAATGTACAGGATGCAGCAACTGGATTGATTTTGCTGGACTGATTCCATAAAATCACATAGGTGATTTCAATCTCAGCAGAAAGAGCTTTGACTTGATTCCTTTATGCCCTGATGTCCAGCCTTAACATTTGGTGTTGACTGGCTGTCATGGTTTAATCCCAGCTAGCAACCAAGCCCCAGGCAGGCACTCACTCTCTGTCCCACCAGTGGGATTGAGGAGAGAATCAGAAGGGTACAAGCTGGAAAACTCATGAGTTCCCATAAAGACCATTTAATAGACAAAGCAAAAGCTGTGCACACAAGCAAAGCAAAAACGGGAATGAATTCACTGATTCCCATGGGCGGGCAGGTGTTCAGGCTCCTCCAGGAGAGCAGGGCCCTATTACACATGGCAGTGACTTGGGAAGACAACCTTCATCACTCCAAATGTCCCCCCCTTCTTCCTTATTCCCACACTTTATAAACTGAGCATGATGTCATATAAATATCCCTTTGGTCAGTTGGTGTTGGCTGACCCAGACATGTCTCCTCCCAGTTTCCCATGTGCTACCAGCCCCCTCCCCATCACGGCAGTATGAAAAGCGGAAAGGGCCTTGGATCTGTGTAAGCCCTGCTCAGCAATAACAAAAACATGTCTGTATTACTAACCCTGATAATTTGTGTTCAGCAAAAATCCAAAACACAGCCCCATCCCAGACATTGGAAAGAAAATAACTCTACCCCAGTCAAATACAGTCCACTGGCCAATTTACTTAGCAATATGGACAAATAATCTGTTGTATCACCAAAT